CACTCACTCTTTCCAGTTAACACGCATTACCGGAAGTCAGCTTTTGATTGGCTGCAGTCTGCTTTGATCTGAAGCCGCGCACTAGCGCCGGTTGGACCTCTATGCGGAGCGCAAGATCGACTGCCTTTTGTACAGGGGTTGCGATGATGCCAAAACATAAAACTTTCATTGGCTGATTGAAGAAAAGAAAACAAAATGTGGGTAGACCTTAAGGCATTTATTCTTGAAGTCTACTCACGATCCTTTCAATCAAAGGGCGCGTTAAGTTAGTGAGCTCCAGACTCCGGACATCTGCGCTCGAGCGCGCGGGTTCGGAGCGTAGCTTAACGGCGCACTTTGGTACCGAGGCGCCATCTGACACCTTTTTTTTTTTTTTTAACGTTTCCGGTTCCGGCTTTCCGGCGCGCGTAAACATGGCTCCCGTCGCGTCGAAAAAGTGTTTCTTCGACGACTACTTCGATGAAATAAGTGCGCGGAGACGGCGGCAACAGCGAGAGCTTGTATTTGTGCTGCACGCTGTTGGTACGGCGATTAAAGGTACGCCGAACGCCTTCTGAATGCCGAAAAGCCTTAAAGAATGACGGGTGAGTGGCCGAAATCATCGGCTCGCCTGATTCCGAAATTGCGGTAAGGTACATAGAGCACTTCGACAAGCATTTGAAGGATGTATGCACACCTTTCTACACCAGCACGATGCTTTTTTTATTTTTTTATTTTCCACGATGACGGAACGATTGCACGAGCTGCCAAGTGATCGCCGTCGAAGAATCCGCGCATCCAAGCAGGCGCGTCCGAGGGAGTCCCTAAAGGCTTCGGCGCAAGCACGAACGACGCCGAGAGCTCCGAGCACGCCATGGTAGCGCAGAAGGAGCAGCTCCTACCCACGACCGATCCTACCTCGGTGCCGTTCCTGGCTAGGCCGGAGCCTTTCGGCCGCGGGGTTCAGTTGGTGCGGTCGCGATCGGCGAGGTTTGGCGAGGCGAGCGTGGTGGCATCATCGGAGCGTTCGGAAGCGAACTCGCTCGCCAGGGATTGCGCACACCCGACGCCTCTGGTCCCGAGTGGCCCGGCGGCCCGGCCCGAAGCACAAAACGCTTGGGTTCTGATGTTTCTTCCGTCTCGTGCGAGACCACCGCGTAAAACCACCGCGAGTAACCGCGAGACTGGCCGCGAGAGCGGAAACGCCGTCATCTCACCGGAAACGGACCTGTTCGAGCTCTCGCGCACCATCTCCGACGGTGCACCGTACACCGGAAGTGAGACGATGTCGTTTAGTTTAGCTCGAGTGCACTCTGACCGCTGGAGCGCGCTCGAGCGCGTTAACTTAACGCGCCCAAAGCCAATCAGAGCTCGGCGTCGTTCTGACGTCACGGCAACTCCTGCGCAAGAAGCAGACGACTTGCTCTCCGCATAGCGTATACATTAATGGCGAATTCGCGTGGTTCTTTCTGCGCGCTCTCGAGCGCTCTTTCCAGAGTGCGCGAAATCGGGTGGTTGAAAGAGAGTGCTGTGGCCTGATCGGGTGGTTCATTCCGAGGGCGCCTCTCCCTCTCAGAGCGCTCTCTGGCACTCCGTCTGTAGCCGTCGGAGTGCGGAGCGGCGCAGGCGTCACGTGGTAGCTGGACGGTGATCACGTGGTTTTGTTGACGATGGCCGGCAGTGTGGTGGTGTGCGGGGTCCGGCATGACGGTGATTGATATGTGGTTCTACAAAGTGCTTGTGCATTCGACGGTGCGAGGATTACAACGGCCGGGACGACATTCGATTGCGACCGTAAGAGGAAAAGCCGACGTGTGAAGTGTTCCCAGTGCTTTCACAAGTTCGTTCATCTCACGGCGGTGAATCCGCTAAGCCTAACCGACGACGAAACAGCTCGCAGAGCTCGCCGCTGTTTTACCGCATTTTGTAGTCGCTTCAAGAAATTTTTGAGGTTTGGTAAAAATGCGTTCAAAGGTTTGTATTGGAAAATAAAGGGAGAGCCGAATATAATGCACAGTGATTTGTGTCACATTGCGATTCTTGCACGATGTTTCGCCGTCCGTCGTACGCATGACCGCTATCGCAGCGCGTTCACTGTCGAAAACGCGATGAGTTGACAACTGTTGCCAAGCGGTGGCTTTCGTTCCGTTCTGCAAAAATCAATTCGCATACTGTTTTTTTTTTACATGCCGATGAGTAAAACAGTTTACGTCAAAACCGTTATTTCATCACGTTGCGAGCGTAAATTTTGCTCAATCGTCCACCGTACGCTGCAAGATCGTGTTGTTTTTAATGCATTATCAATGTCCAGAAATTTTAATTCCGTGACTGGTCTGAGAATCTCGGAGCGCTCTGGAGCCAGCAGTTGTGATCGGCTGAAAAGGATCCCGAGCAGCTCTGGCGGCGAGGAGGGGGCGCTCGGCTGGATCGAGGTCAGAGGAGAGAGGCGACCACGCGAATTCACCATTAGATAACTTTATGAAGCGTGCACAACCACTATCATCTATGCTCGTTTTCACCTGAAGAAAAAAAGGAAGTTCTGCGCATCGTTTATACGCTGCGCGAAGTAGTTCCTAAAAGATTTGGTTGTCTGAGGGAGACGCGACGCTTTTGGCGTTTGAAACGTTTACGGCTTGATAACATATCAACAATCTAATCTACACTGCACCTACATAACTCTGTTCTCTCATAAAAGGGAAAACTAGAAATGCTCAGCGAAGAACCGGACTTTTTTTCCTAAGGTTCTTGTAGTGGAAACGAATATTGGGGAGGAGATCAGAGCGTGGCTAACTTTAATACTACACGGATGGGGACAACAGAGAACAATGACTGAACGCTCGACCGACATAACTAGGGTGTGTATTTTCCGGTTTTAACCGAAAAACACCGATAAACATCCGTCGGTGACGAAAATATAAAATCGGTTAAAACCGAAAAACACCGGTGGTTGGATATTTTCGCCCTGGTTAAAACCGAAAAACACCGGTCGTTGCAGGTTTCCAAACTAGCGAAACCCTTTCCCCGTAGAGGTTCGTCAAACGTGTTATCTCGTGGATCCTGCATTCTTCTAGTGTTTATACATGGCTTGCAGGTGGCGTCAGTCCGCCCTCCTTTCAGGGGGTCAAAAGCGTCTAGTGAACGCAGTGGAAGCTAAGCTCTCATACGCCTTTCCCCTATTGTGTCTCCCATGGCCCCCTTTTGTGGAAAAATTAACACAGTGAAGGGTAGGCTCTCACGTGCCTTTTCCTCATTGTGTCTGGCCAAGTGATGTCGGTGCAAGCCATGTATTCAGAGGTTGCTGTGGTTCCTGGAAGACACTGCCAACGTCCTTGTCGTACAGGAGCGTGCGTTTTCATAATTGCGGGTTGCGACCCGCAAGGTACGTGCTGCCATGACGGCAGCACGTTCCTTGCGTGTAGATGCAAGCATGAAAGTATGCTTACATCTACTATAATAACCAAGTGTTAGAAATAGTTGCTTCCTAGAGAAGAAGTGTATGAACTATGTGAATAAAATTGGAACTCTCTGTCTGTGATCAATCGCTTTTTTTTCACCGATATTCACCGATTTTAGCCTGGTCGCGAGACGTTCCACCGAAATACACCGGTGTTTTGAAAATAAATAAACACCGAAAAACATCCGCCGATTTTTCTCAAAAATAAACACCGGAAAGTACACACCCTAGACATAACCGAACGACCCGTCAGCGTTCGGCTGGAGATCGTGTGCTCGGTCACCCGAGGGAGAGGAGGGTCTCTTTTCTTACCACTCCAGCCTGCAGGAACAATGCGCCATGCACGGTGCATATGCCGAGCTCAGCACAAAAGCCGACTTTGGGTCAAGCTCGTATTTTCTGACGATTGCTTTCGAAAGAGATCGGGCACTAACAGGGCCGTGTTCCAAATCTAACACAAATGGATCCGACCCTGGAGTAAAGCGCCAGACACATGGACGGCAGAATCGTCCGATCCGACGTCCGATCGGACAATCCGAACGCAGCTCCGAATTGTCGCACGCGACAGTTTGAGACACACGCTTCCGAACTTGCATGCAACACGACGATCCGTTCGGCTTCGCCCAAGAGATCCAAGCGCTCCAGTGGAGGTTCGCGTTCCCATACCGATCTCTAGTCCCAGAATGACGGTTCAACTCGCACGAGCGAAGTTAGGAGCTCGTTCTAGCTCGCGCGTCCATTCTTTGCTGAGGCCATCTTTCTCGAATCGGCCAGCGGGATTCACGCGTCCGGCTTCCCGTTGCACGTCCCGTTTTCTTGTTCGACCCTCCAGACTCATTACGTCATCATGACATTTGCGCTGGCTGTGCTGTCATTGGCTGGACGCTTCCGAAAGTCCGTCCGCCATCCGAAACTATCTGGCACGTCGGACGCACGCCGGATTGCCGATCCGACGTCTGAAGCGACCAAACGTTTCGGATCAGGCAGTCGTATTGCCGCATCGGACGTCGGATCGGATGGAATTTTTTCGCGCATGTGTCTGGCGCTTAAGATAGGGTAAATTTGGAAATACGGCCACAATAAACGTCACTTCGTTTATTGTTAGTCTTTATTACGTTACAGCGTGCCCCGCGCTTTCTTGAAGAAGGTGACGTAAACATCATGGCGTCGACATGCCCACAAGGCTTGTGCTGGGTAAACACCCAGATGTTGGGACAACAAACGGGTTCCCCTTCAATAGAAGACGAGGCCTGCTCATGACGTCATCGTTTGTGGATCTCCGATTCTCCGCAAGCGGCAAACACACTCTCGACGAGAGCTCCCGCAAAATGGTAGACGCGTTCTTCTTGGTGTCGCCTCGTGTAGCGTCGCGCTCGCTGTGAGACGCTGCACGCGAGTCACGCTGTCGACGTTGCTGACGCAGGCTATGTGGCGCTGCTTGGATTCACTTGTGATGACGCTTGAAGGGGAAAGAGCTGCGCAGGCCTGATCTTTTAAGAGGCGTTGGGAGAATGCGCTTGGCCGCTCTCAGACACAAATGTGTAAACGTATACTCTTTAAAACCCAGGCATATACCTTTCGTCGCTATGGAGTTCTCGACCGCCGCCGCTGCTGCTGCTGCTGTTAATTTTTCTCCCGAGGATTCCAAACGCAAGTGAGCGGTGTATCTCGATGGACGTTGCTCCCCTAAATTAAGTATACCATATTTGTTTGCTCCGCCGACTACACTTATTTAAAGGTTAAAAATTATGATGTGCAAGCTATATTACTAATTCTTTTTTCTTCAAGATTGTTCAATACAATAACACGTAAGAAATTTTGTCAATGACATTCTGTTAATGAGGAATTTTTTATGATGCAAGGTACTTTTGGGGGCTAGAATAATAAAGCACGCATTTTGCGAGGTACACCCTAACAAAAAATCTGGTCGTAAAAGAACTCTGGGGGGTTCTTCGGCTTGTCCATAATTGGCACCCTAAAAAGTTATTTTACGTACCCCCTAAAGGGTCCTTTGTAAAGAACCTATGAGTCCTTCTTTTAAGCTTATTTTATGATGCGAAAGAGCTCTTCTTTGCCCATTTGCCTTTTTACCTTCTTACTGCGCTAGGTGGCGATAGTGCTTGAGGCTAAACCGTTCTTCACACACTGAAAGACTCGTTAAGGCTTCAAAAACGAGCCTTTTTTATGTAGAGTGCGTTGTGTATTGGAATGTTTTATCGGCGGATTATGCACTGGATATACGGATTATGCGCCCGCCACGAGAAGACTATCGATTTCTCCGCAAAATAGGATGCTTATGGCAAATATGCCTTCGTGATTTTTACAACCGAAGACTCTCGGGAACTTTAGCGTGTTCACTGCCCAGCGAAGCACTCTGGGACGACTACTTGTAGGTTTGTTTTTGAGTGTTTTCGTCAATGAGGAGCCCGACTAGCACCACGCCCCGGCATCTCAAGGAGCCAGGGTTTTTACCTCTGATTCCTTCTGACACCGAATAACATTCGTTTGGGGTTTCGGGTGAACAATATGCCGCTCTATAGAGTCACTGAATGTTCCCAGAGTATCGAATTCCATTCAGTCGTCTCACCGGAGGTCAATCCCGCAGAATCCAATTCTGATTGGCTGGTTTAGCCCGCGGCGGAATTTATCACTCGGCCATTTTGGAGATGAACCACAAACTACAAAAAATGTATTTAAAACGTTTTTACGCTACCACGGGTACGGCGGGTACACGCGGGTGGGAGCTCTGGGCGCCGATGAGTTAGGACCGAAGGGAAAGTGCGTTTTCTCTAGATTTTTTTATATCAACTAGCCGCTAATCTGGTTCGGCAAAGAAGATTGCCGTCTTCTTTGCACGCTCCGGTTGCGTTGGTGCTGCGTTTCAAACTCTAAAGGCCTCAGGCGCTAAGCCTAACACTCGACTTCGACCTGTTTCGAGGCGAGAAAAAAAAAACGAGACAGCGAGGAGCAACTCACACACCACTCGGAACGAAGGAAATAACTTTAATAATAAAAAATAAAAAAATAAAAAACAGTGTCGCCCCAGGCCAGGAAAGTAGATTTAAGCCTTCGCACGATAACGAACGCTACACTGTACGCGCTTTGCGACTGCTGCGCCGCGACTCGGTTCTGAAACGAAGCTTCTGAGTTCCGGTGGCCTGGGAACGTTCAATGAGTCTATGCCATGCCACAACCACGTGATTTGTTAAACTACGGTAAACTCCGGCGAAATATTGATAGGCACCGATTTGCCCTAATATTGACCCGACACATCAGTAGACACACTGAACTAGTAAGCACACAAAAACAACAACAAAGCTTTTTTTTTTTTTTTTTTTTTGCTGGCGCGAAGTTATTCAAGTTTCAATTTTGATCTGAGAGGCCGAGGGCTCTACTGGCAACACTGAAAACATTGCAGCGTTCCACTAATATCGAAAACTTGAACGTCGACCACTTCATTGCGTATATACTCTTGATTTAGAACCGAGAAATATATTTGTTGATTAGTTGTGCTCTTTTGGGAAATTGTAGTTGTTTTTTTTTCAGATAGATGATTAACAATAACATGTTTTAGTTTTACCGGCGAGTGTTTATTGCCTATCCACAATAAATATATCATGTAAATTTAATTACAAAGGTTTTTTTTTACCTTGATTTTATATTGTTTTGCGGATAATAGTGAATTGAGAACGAAAGGAGCTCGTATTGTGTGTGATTTGTTTTCCTGCTGACGCAATATTTTAATTTCAAATGCATTTTGTTTTTCCAGATATGTGCCACAGCCACACGCAACCAGTACCTACGAAGCCCCCCTCAGGTAGATTACTTCGGACACCGGCTTCGTGAGATACGAATCTTAACGACCCCGAATGTGGGCGAGACTTAAAATAATTCCAGGCAATAGAGTGTTTTCTTTTTTCCTTCAGCCTAGTTTAGTGTGGTGTTCGTGTAATATTTGAGACTTGTTTTGTGTCTACAAACACGAGCCGTATTTTTTCTCCCTAGAGTCCTTCGGTCGGTCCGTTTCGGCAGACCTTCCCCGAGCATATGTTCGGGTGAGGAAGCATGGTGGAAGGCGCAAACAACAACGGACACAAGAGAGAAGACACACACACTGACCTTTCTTGCTGGAATCACAGTTGTGCGCCTTAAAGTAAAAAGAAAAAAATCAAAAAGAAAAATGATTTAAGGTAACAGATATTCTCATTGCCTTTTGTCACGGGCTCCAGACAACAGCCCTTCTCCGCTGCTGTTGAAATCCAACAATTTGACCTTCGTACTTTTCCGATAGTAGCGTGGTACGATTTTAAGCGTGTTCCGAATTTCGCACATTTATCGATTGGTTTCTCTCACATATGTTTCAGCCTTCAAGGCTCCAATACACGAGCAAAAAAAAAAAAAAACGCATCCCATAACAACTCTAGATCATCTCCTAAAAAAACAGCATTATTGTATTTTTATTTTACAGAAATCGCGGATATACTTTTAACAACACAAACAAAAGTCAGAGGACACCTAAGCATTTACGAGTTGTGAATGCAAAAGCATGAACATCGTTCTTCCGCCCTCTTAGCCAGTCCGCGGCGTAGTGGCGTGGACGTCCGAGCGGGCGCTTTCGCGAAGTGGCCACGCCGCGCTGCGCTGAGCTCGGCCGTGCGACCTCTCCGGAGTGTGCCCGGGCCGGCTCTGGCTGTGCTGACACTGCTGTCTCCTTTTACTGGCAGCCGCGCCGCTGCGTGCGCTGCGCCGCCATGGAGAGGGCTTCTCCCGTGGCTTTTTTTGGAACTACGCCGCACGAGAGCCAATGGGAGCCTCGTTCCGTGATGACGCACGCCAGCCAATTGAAGCGTAATCCATCAGAAATCGGCTTCACTTGGAAGAGGTGCCGTTTGGCCAACGTTTGGCGTGCTTTCAAAGCTGATGACGTCGGTTGGCTCCATGGGACAGTTAATGCTTTCGCGCTGAAACCCTGCTGGCTATCTGTGTGCAGTAGATAATATCGTTCCCCGAGAGTGGGTTAGTAGGGACGACTCCTGCATCTTTCGAATTCCGTGCGTTTTTCGCACGGAAGTTTTTCTCACTTGTGTTCCGAAATCACCTTTCTGGAGCTTTACTCTCATGTGATGGCGCATCTTTCGGACACCCTGCCTCAAGTACGGTCTCGTTGCCTTCCAGCGTGCATCGGTTGCGCGAGCACGGTCGAAGCTAACGAGACGCCTAAATGTTATTGAAGCCAAGAAGCTCGCGTTCGAGGCAGGACAACAGCTGAAATGCGTCCCTTCCGTTTCTATCCTGTGACGACACGCAATATGCATGTAATGAAATTCTAATTCTATGTTTCTGGTCTCCTTGGTAACTGACTCGGCAATATCAAACAATGCGGAGCGCGGGTTCGTCTGCTTCCTGAGCAGGCGTTGTGGTGGCGTCAGAACGGCGAGCTCTGATTTGCTCCGATTAGAGGATAGTGGGTAGACGCCAAGGAAACTTGCTTTGAGGCCTACCCACTGCTCTAAGAATCAGAGCCAATCAGATCTAGGCGTTCTAACGCCCCCATAACCCCGAAAGAAGCAGACGAACTTGTGCTCCGGATAGTATTTCATAAGTACCGACCAAGTTAACGATTACTTCCTTTTTTTATGCAGTTCCTTCGCGGACACGCTACGTTAACGTATTTCTCTTGTCGGATCACTCGCACTGCAACTTGTTTAAGACTATCGGAGATCAGCGCCTTTACATGACGGTTCTGCTGAATGGAGTAAGTAAAAAAAAAAGCATTAGCCCCGCAGTTAAAAATATAGAACAACAAAACAAAAGTGTGCTTTGTTGTATGTTCAGTGATAGACAGATCTTTACTCGCTCATAATGAATTGTACTTTTTTCAGGCCCCGATTGGTCGCATGAAAAGTCAGACATACTAAAAAAGAAAAACACACGTTAATTTTATTGTAGATTTGCCGCCTTATTTTGCCCTTTTTGACGAAGGGGACCACATTAATGCTCTCTACGCCATTTAGGAACTGTCGAAAATACATGCTTAAATTATTTTGCTTGCTGGTACCTTGGATCGCTCTATATTTATGCATTTATGATTTGGTCATGGTGTTGATGTACGATTTCTACCTTTCCACAACTTATTTTCTCGAAGACCACAACAAATTGGTCTAGGCTTTGCTTTTTGTGAATTAAAGAGACTCCGCGATATTTGAGAGTCAGTGCACTTGCGTGACATTGGATTCAGAAACACTCTACGACTGTAAGAAAAATAGGGTTACTCCATCGTGTAAAAAAACTCACATGTCCCAGGTAAGGGGTGACCAGACGTCCCGTTTTGCCCGGAACAGTCCCGTCTTAGAAATGCATCTGTCTCGTTTTTTTTTTTTTTTTTTTTCAATGGAGTCTTACGTCTTATTTTTGTGGGAACGTGCCCGCATAGTTGCCAAATGCGTTCTAAGCGAATGGAAGAAATCTAAAAGAATACTAAATAAATGTTATAAAAATAAACATTATATGAACACGTTTCTTCCCGAAGAGTCAATTTAAAGCTGTTTCTGCTGTTCCATCTGTCAATGTATTCCGTTCGCGCACTGCAGTTTTCTATGTTACTATATTTGACATGCTTAGGTTTTGTAAAAAAAAAGAAAAAAATTAAGAAGAAAGGTGCTTCCGTGCTCATCTAAACGAAGAACCTCGAAACAAAATGTTCATTTGTAGAGGGAATTGAGTAGTAGCAGAGCTTGCTTTGTTTTTCGGCCCCGCACCTCCCTTTCCCGCTCTCGACAGTCCACCCCCTTCCCTTTTTAGCTGCCTAAGGTGGCTCATGGGGGCCACCATTGGCAGCTAACCTGAGCTTTCCTTAAAGAAACCTACAGAGTGCCGCCTCCCCCCTCCCCCCTCCCCCCCCCCCCTCAACTTCTCATGTAACTTGTAAGTAGCGCTAGTAGCCGGACGAGATTCTAAAGTTTTATAATAATCGTTCCCTTTTTTACAAGTTACAAATAATTTTCTGAAACTTTCGATGGGAAAATTAGGTTAATTCGCGGAAGTTGGCGCGCCATTCACCCCCATGTATTCCTGGGTTTCGCCAGCCGCCATTTTCTCATTAGAAAGTTCGGAAAATCGCTTAAACTTTTTAATCAGATAATGGTTAGTTTGGAAGCTTTGGTATATGGTCCAGACCGCGACTGCTACATTCTGGCAACGTGAAATTTATTTTTAAGTAAAACAAAAGTTAAAACACTAACATTCCTTTTTGTGTGGACACCCTGGACTTGGGCTGCCCACACGAGCCAAGTAGGTAACGTCGAACCGCCTCATTTAGTTTTTATCCAGGCGATGCGTATTACAGCTGCATCTCAAGTTGGGCATGCCCACACTTTCTGACGCGTGCCTACATGAGACAATGTTGCCATTTTGATTATTACATAAATTTGCATATCTTGTTAGATAAAGAACATCTTAAAAATCCTATATTAATTGCTCACTCAACGTGTGGAAAATGAAACACAAAACGTTGTACACTTCTATGATGAAAATAATCCCTGGAGAAGGGGAATAAGAGGGACAAAGGACAAACATAAATCCCCAAACACAGCTAGGTGACTGGTGAGCGACCGAAAAAATCCGCCGCTCACCAGTCACCTAGCTGTGTTTGGAGATTTATGTTTGTCCTTTGTCCCCCTTACTCCCCTTCTCCAGGGATTAGTTTCATCATTCTTGTCCAGCTCGCTTGCACATTTGCATTTAATTGCATTATAAGTACACTTCTATCTCATTTCTGTAGGCCAGATAATCGGGATAGCCAGGATGAGTCGGCTACAGACGCAAAGTTTCAGAACAGATATACCGCGAACCGACGACCGTGTTTGGATTTTAATAATTGTAATTTTGTTGCGTATATATTTATACAGAAAGAGGTTAGTTAGCTCCAATGGGCGACGTGTTTCTCGGCTCTAGTTGAGCAATTTATTCAGTTATTCAGCCTGAGTTCTTTAACTTGCAACACCACGCACTATAGTGATACACGACCTCACGCCGGTACGATGTCCTTCAAGATCGAAACGGGCAGAGGTGGAGATTGAACACGGGATCGCCGGGTTCTACAGCGCAAGCATTCGCTTACCGTGCTCTGTGCTGGTCTATGGATTTCACCTTCAAACTCAACACTCCTACAACAAAATTCCACCCAAAGTAAGACTTATCTCACTACGGCTGAGTGGCAAGATTGTATGGAATGAAGTTCTAGGAACCCGAAATATCGCTCACAATTTGAGTTACATTCGTAGGTCATTTCGCATGACATTAAACAAATGTCTTATGTTCAGCCTCCACAACGTCCATTCAATCTTAGCAGTATCAGCAGAAAGTCCAAGTTGATGCACGCGGGGAATGCACGATAGCCGAAGTTCGGCATAACCTCGTTTAACCGAGGTGGAACCAGTCTTGTACGCGCAACCTGGAACAAAGAAGCAATTGCTTACGGTTATTACAGCTACATTTACTCTTAGTTAAAAAAAAGTATTTAATTATTCTATAGGGTGTCCCAGTTTACCAGGCTCGATCTAAAATCTACCGTAAAAAGTGACGCCTGCACGTAGCAATTTAAGCTTTTCGTCAAAAGTGTATTTCAAAGGTTTTTTTTTTTTTTTTTTTGTAAAATTACAAAGCATATAGCTTTCTCTCTGTAAAAAATAGTGCCAAGACACTCACTAGGCTCAACGGCGGGTGGCGATGCAGACGACCACGTCAAGTAGCGGGGCGGGTTTGGCGCTCGTATTGACAGATGGCGCTACGTCCTTAACGAGATTAGAGTAACTGTATATGCTCCGCTTGCGGAGCAGAGTACCGCAATGGTGCCATTCTGGAGCCAAGCACTGCGGGAAGCCACGGTTGGTTTTCGCAGGGGCACGAAGGCGCAGACGCGAGGCGGCGTGCTGTGGCAGGCTGCGGCGCGCTGCGGAAGGAAAATAGTGCGGCGACGAGCCGCGTATGCGCCGTGATCGTTGTCCCTTCGCTTCCTGTTTCCCTCTCGATTGCAAAAAGCGCACCCCCTGCTTTCAACCGGGAGCTCGCCGACTAGCCAAGATAGCCGGATGTGTCGGTCGCGTATCGGTATCGCGTATCACTCCGCGAGAGCCGCAGACGCGAGCAACGCGATCGTCGACCGTGTCGTCTGCTTCACATACCTTGAAAACGGATGTCCCAAAACATCGCTCACGTTATAAAGAACGGGATTGTACTGTACCCAGTTGATACACATAATGTTCAATGATTTAGGAAAATTTCGGTTCGTTCGATTTTGGACTAGGATCTATATTTTGCGAACGCAAAGCGGAAAATATGTTGCCCCCGAAACGCGGCGCTCTGGAAGGCCGCTTTCCCGCACGAAGGTCGGATCCAGTTCTGCCCACGTGACCACTCCTCCGCCAATGCGGAGATGGCGGCGAAAGGAAAAGGAACGCGATACTCTGGCTCTGCAAGCAGAGCCTATACAGTTACTCTAAACGAGATTGCTCGCGACCACCATGGTTTATTCGAATGAAGATAATCTTCTTGAAATGTACCTTTGGTTAAAAAACAAATTTGGGCAATAAAAGCGAAACTGAAAGGAAAAAAAAATACGTTTGCATAACGACGATGCTTTTGCTGCCAACAGATTCCGTCTGCGTGTCGTCTGCTTCCTTCGGCTGGTCGGCCTCACCTTCGTGCACTGCTACAGGCGCCGTCTATCAATACGCGCGCCAAACACACCCCGCATCTCGACTTGGTCGTCGGCGTCGTCGCCCGCTGTTGAGCGTGGCAAGTTTCTTGGCCCTTTTTTTTAGACAAAAAGAGTTACGCTTTGTAATTTTACAAGAAAAAAAAACAAAAAAAAAACGACCTGTAAAATACACGTTTGACGAAATGTCTAGATTGCTACGTGCAGGCCTCGATTTTGGCGGTCCATTTTAGATCGAGACTGGTGACATTGGACACCCTATATTACTCGAGGAAAAAAAAAGTAATTGGCCGTTACTTGAAAAAGTCACCGCTTCTTTTCCCATTACTTCGAATTTTCACTGACTGATCTTTCTGCCGGTTTGAAAACGCGTCTTTCGTACTTTCCATCATTCGATGAAGATAACCGCGTGATAACATTCTTCTCTTCTTAATGAACCAATTTTTTCACCCAATCCACCAAGATTTAAGAGCGTTGCGGATACGGATCAGATGCGGATGATCAAATTGTTCTGCACGCAGGGGGGCTCTATAGCTGTGACGCATTAGCAGGGCGAGTGCAAGCCTCCGAGGCATCTCATGATCTCCTCGCAGCCAAACAGATTGCATCGATAGACGCCGAAGGACCAATCAGAGAGCAAAAAGCGTGAAAGAATAGGCCACCCCCTGGGTTTCTTTTATAGCTGTCCGTTACCATACAGCTTTTTGTTTTTTATTTTGTAATTCATTATTTTGATTACGGCGGAATTTTGTTTGCCCATCTCGACATATTTAAGGTTCTTACTCGTCGATATCATTAACATGTCTCGTGTTTTGTTCTTTCTTTTGTAGGTGAGAGCAACTTACAGCGGACTGCCACACGATCTGAGATTCGTTTTGAGGCTGGTTGGAATCAGCTGCCTAAGTGTAAGATATCATATTCGCTCGGGCCTCAGCCAGAGTGAAATACACAATTCTACACGCTCAAAAATACTCGAGTGTACTTGCCGCACCGTAACGCACTCAGCGATTGGCACCATACATCAGTGATGTTGCAGCCTCAGCGGTACGGGGTATTTTCCCTAAACGCCATTCGCCCATTAGTGGGCATGCAGACGATTAGTTATTGGCATCGTCTGTGGTGTCGACGAAACGCACAAGCACGGCGAGTGGCACCGTCGAGGACAGAGCTCATTTAGTACGAGCAGGGACGTATTCGAGCAGCATCAACTCATGCTTACTAGGCTCTGTGTTTTCTTTTGATTTCGCACTGGCGACATTCACTAAAGTCATTCTGGCCGCCGACGGGAGCGGCTTCTTGAAAACCGGCTACTCTTAAACCCTAATAAAGACCATTACCCATAAACTTTGAATGCCAGTGAAAGCTCCTCTATACAATGCACGCTTTCAGCCTTTATAGAGCGAACTGCACGGTTTTTATTTTTTACAGCAAAGCTGTATAGGCCTCGCAGGTGGGATTTCTTCGCGTCTGTCGACGGAAAAACCCCGGCGCGCGCATAATCACTGTCCGCGAACGCCCTATCATTTATCATGTGATTTTAACACTTGTTTCAATAAGAAAACCCCAAAAGAAGTGACAAAACCACGCGATAGATTATAAGGCGAGCGCGAACGATGATAAGCACGTAGCCCTCCCCGCATACGTTTCGCGGTAAAGATTGCGGTTGCATGAGCTGCCGCAGCAACGGCAGCATACGAAGTATTTCATATATATATATAAAGTTTTGGTACAGAGCATTTACCTTTCGTTTGTCAATCATTTGGTATAGACCCTCTTGCTGTTTGCGAACATGAGCAGCCACTTGAGTTCGAAGGGACTTCGGGTCGCACCATCTTTGCCAACCTGTTGCGCTCGCTTATGTCACCAGTGCTAGAAGGCATAAATGCTACACGAATAACAAAGTTGCTGATTTAACTAGGTCCTTCGGCTGTACAATATTACATCTTGGAGGAGTGAAGTTGGTTTACAAGAATACTCGAAACATTTGAAAAGATCTCGCAGTCCTTCGTTCTTTTGGCGTTCACCTGAAGCTGGTTACACTTTTCATCAACATTTCAAGCGGCAGAGTGAAGGTGGCCTTTGTTTATTATTTTTATAAACCGAAAGTTCTCCGGGATGTCAAAAACTGGAGCACCACCTGGTGACGCTTGCCATGCAAAAGGGTCTATAGTGCAGTGGGCAATCGCTGCAGGGGATACCAAAGCTTCGCTGTCGAACCACCTTTACAGCGTAAATTAAAGCCTTATTTTTTTTAGTTAATCTTAGAATTACGTAAATAATTAAAACGGAGGGTGTGTGTCTCCAAAAAGCTTGCTTCTCCCCATCAAAGGTCGTAGTGCTAGAAAGTTCGCTTTCTGCCTTCTTGGCGAAATGCGTTTTGTTCGTGAATCGTCGACGGGAGTGCCCAAAAGTGTCGTCCTGGTCGACCTTTCACGATGGGCCAAACGCTCACTGTGATTTTATGAGTATGATTAATTCTATATTTAATATTGTTGACGAAGGAACCGCGACTACTGCGGCCGGCGCAGTCGGTCCCAGCGAAAAAAAAAAAGTCGAGCAAGCTGAAAACAAAAATGTTTTTTTTTTTTCGTGCATAGAAATTTACAGGGCGAATCGTCACAGCGTGAATTCCGCTGAGTGTTCAAACCGGAAGTATGCGTCACGCGTAATGGCATGCCTTCGAAATCCGAGCGCTATCATCGCGCAAGCGGGTGAAATAAATGTAGTCGGAAACGTGCGAACGTCGGCGCCTCAAGGTATACCTTCGTAAATGTCGAGTTGTGAATGTCTGGAAAGTGTTAAGAAAAGGGAACTCTGAAGTGCGTCTTGACTCTGCGTGATCGATGGTACATGTTGAACGTCTTCTCAGGCAGCGGTTGATCCAATTACGCGTCTGAGGCGTGCTCGAGATTGTTAGAAACAGACGAAACTGGTCTCACAAGTATATAACATTAGTAGCGACGACCATAAAGATGCATTCACACTTCTCGTACATTATACAAAAGAAATGACATTATTATCTTTGGGCGCGCCTCAAGAATGCTCCCAGTATCTTTGTTTCCTACAAATGTACGCTTCGTACATTTCTGAATTTCTGCAGACAGTCTTTGGATCACGAATGTGTCGGGACAGTCATACATGGAAGAACCACGCCTCGGACTGTTTCTGCAGACTGTCTTTTTTACGATGTGTCAGCTGAGTTACCTTGAAGTTAAACTGATACGTCGTTTTGTGTCCTGCCGAGAACGTAACTTTCATGTGTCACGCCTTATTAGGTGTCCTTTGCTGTGTACTCAGCGTATGTGGAGACTAAATAAAAATATAAAGAAAACGACATGAAAACGATAAACATGTTCTTGCGACGATGTGGCGTTTTTCAGGAGTCTGAACAGAAGAGGATATATCAAACCAGCATCGATGCACATGGCAGGTTGGATGGAAATAGTGCTCTGTGGGGTTTAAAGGATTATGCAATGCAAAACCAGACGCAGTTTCGAAATGCTACGGTCATCGTTATGCTAACGTCGTAAGTAATGGAGAAGCAATTGGCATCTCCGTGGCTGTATCGAGATCTAAACTGAAAACGACCTGTTTTTGTTACAGGTACTACTTCCAGGATCAGTCTCAAACTGGTAACGTATTTCAGTTACTGATTCCGCTATTCATACATTGTCTCGAAGAGAATGATGTGAACTAAAGTAACTGCACAGGCGAGCTGGTCCATACTGACATGCTAATCCAGGAGTGGCGGAAAACTTATCTGCCAGAATTTTTACGCCCGACCACCAGGAGCGCGACACCCGACAGCATGACACTTCGGCTTTTGTGATGTAATTTGTTGCCACTTCGGAACCTCTTTCGATGCGTGGACGGAATAGGAGGTTAGTCACGCCAGTCGGAGGCGCGTTCTAGGCGCTGTAGCTAGTAGCGCTCTGAGTACCTGCCGTCTTCACGTTGTACAGGGAATACAGGTCCTACATCCTGGATAAGAAGGCCTATAGCGCTTGAGTTTCTAGGTCAGCTGCTTGGGGCCAGCGTGGCGGGACTCAGGTTGAACGCGAGTGCTGCGGCAGTTTGCGGCCGGAACTCGTCTTCAAGCAGGACAAGACGAGTCCCAAATGAACGCTGAGGCCGCATTCGTGTTTAATCTGCGCCCACCGATGGCCTCAAGCGCGTGACGCCAAACATCAACAGGCAGGAAAGCAACGCTGGGTCGAGCATGACAGCAAGCGTAATTCATCCCTCTGACATTTTTTTTGAGAGAGGCACATTTTAGTGGTGTTGGTTTTGCAGATTTCGGTTTTCGGTCGACTTCCACGTCGACTGAATATATCAAAAAGCGCGAGACAAAAAAATTAATAAATAAATAAAAAAACACAGGCACCCGTTTTAGTACGAGGTCCTCTGCCTTGCCAATCCAACTGGAATTTCTTGTTTGATCTTTCCTTCTTGGTTTGGCCGTTAGAGTGAGCTATAAGACGAGGTCATGCCAGCTGGGAATCATCATATCGAATCCGCTCTGGATTAAGCTGGTTCCGGGCGCAAAATGCACACTGCGTCTCTGAGGTCAACGTCGCATGATTAGTCTTCCAGTGTTCACACCAACTTCACCCGGCTACATGTTTTAATGGCATTAAAATGCAGCTGGACTAATCAAAGTTGCAGCCACCAATTAGTCGCAGTGTTTATTCGCCAAAAAGTCCGAATGCTCTTTGGAGTGCAAGTTCGTCTGCTTCTGGCTCAGGGACTGCGAGGATGTCAGAACGCCAAGCTCTTATTGGCTGATTGAAAAAAAAAAAAAAATAGTGGGTAGACTTTAAGGCATCTGGCACTGAGGTCTACCCACTATCCTTCTGATCAAAGCGAATCAGAACCAGGGTGTAAGATAGACAGGTGGGGAAACGGCCCATAGAAGCCTACCGCAGCGCCGTGACCGGATTGTGTACTCGTCGGCTTGCGGGTACCGCCGATTAGCGACAGATGGCGCTGCGGCGAGAAGAAAAAATTTTGGAATCGGATTTGCATGAAACTTTATGGGAGAGTGCCCAAAATAAACCGAGAGCACGACAGTCCTCCAGTGAAAATCCACGAGAAACCATCTCCGTCAGTTTAGCCGGTCGCAACCGGTCACCCACCCGGAGTGAGAGTTCGCGGTGCTCCACATAGATGGCGCCACAGAAAAAGAGAAAACCGAGGAGGACACAATCCGGTCGCTCATTTGGCTCTCGTTTCCCCACCTGTCTATCTTACACCCTGATCAGAACTCGGGGTCGTTCTGACGCCAACGCAGCCCCCGCGCAAGAAGCAGCCGACTTGCTCTCCTCATAGGGAATGTCGACCCTATCAGTGCGCTCCGCGGTTAGGCGCGTGCTGAACACAAGCACTCGTCGCATTCGTCTGGCACCGATAGAACTGTTGCTAACGGTACACGAGAAGTTTATCGACAGCTCCTGCTGAGGACAAATGAATACTCACTTCGCTTCATGCGCGACGCATTCTTTAAATATATACTAGCACATAACAAAGCGCATATCACATGATTTGCCGACATCTGAACCTTCTTGAATGGCAAACAAAAAGAGAAGTTGGGTAAAATGCCCTATCCTCGTCAGGTTTCTTTACTGCGTTCAATCTGTGACAGTTTGCGCGTATGTAAATAACCGTGAGCCCTATCATGTAACTGCTATACTTCCATTCCCTTCAGGGTACTCCTTCCTTGGTGGATTATGCAGCAGAGATCAAGTAGCTCTCGTCAGCGACGTACACGCACTCTACCGCTGTGGATTAGACGTTTCGGAGCACATCCTGAGAGTGTAGGTGTGACAATTCTGTTCCCACTTTCATAAAATCACTAAAGTTTGTTTCATCTTAAAGAAAACTTTAATGGTAGTGTATTAGAAAAATATATATATTAAAAGACCTAGAACTTTCTTATTTGGCTTGCAGGATGGCGAATATCAAAATTACATTTCAGATGAATACGCCAAGTAGCCAGAACAGCGCTTTCAATGTAGCGCTGAAGCCCCTTCCCGTCGCGTTCGGTGTGAAAAGGGTATGATAGCGCATTTTGCAGGAGATCTCTACATTTCCGCGCTTTCTGCATATGCGCGACAAAGCTATCCGATTCGGCGTACGAACCATCGGAGAAATGGCTGCTCCGACCAGGGCCGTAGGCAGAGGGAGGGGGGGGAGGGCTTATGGGCTTCAGCATTCCCCCCCTCCCCCCCCCCCCCCCACCCACCCCCCGAAGTCCAGCCGACCTTATAATATACACATGCATTTTGACCCCCCTCCCCCTCTCTGCACCCCGAGTAGTGGGCATCTCCACCACCTCAGCAAACCCCGACAACCCAGGAATTGTTTTCGGGAGGGGGGGGGGGGGGGGGGCGAAAACAATTCCTGGCTACGCTACTGTCTCCGACCCGTTGCACATGACAGTTCGAGACACATGGAGCCGGACGACGACGACGAGCTCTGGTGAGGCTGATCTTTGAAAGCTCTCGCTATCTTTCCAGTTTTTTCGCGTTGCTTAATATACTCGGCGCCATCTGTATTAACCTGCAACGCGACTTAAAAATATTGCATGTCCCGGCCTCCCGGCAGGGTCGGTCGCTGGCACTGTGCTTCGAGAATACACTAAGCATGCAACGTAGCCCATGATGGAAGCCATGGACATTCCAATCCATCCCAACCCATATAACGAGCTTTCGGATGCCACCGACCAAGAACTCCCGACATGTGGCCAAAAATATCAACCTACAACCCAGGCCTCCGGGATCCTGTTAACGGAACAACATCTTTCAATAAATGGACGACCAACTGGCACTGAGTCAGAGGAAACGGACATGCAACATGAAGAAGACATAAAAGAAGTTACCATCATTTCAAATGACAAGTCCTTCAGCACAGTGGGATCCCGGAAACGCCAACGACCAGGCACGAATTCTTCGAGTAACAACACTGTTATCTCGTCCACATCCGCTCTAACCTGCATTGGACATGCTGTAATATTTACACCACAAGATGCCTCAAAGCAGCTGGGAAACATGAACAGCATTCGCTTGACATCTTTTTTCGAAAACATCGCCCCTTCCTGCATCCTAGAGATCAAGATAAACAAGAAACTAAACCTGATCGCAGTGGATACACGAAATCTGCACACCACGTCAACACTACTGACACTGACAGAGCTTCTTGGAATACCGGTCTACGTATATGAGCCACAAAAACAAGAACACTTCAGTTGGAGTCGTTCATGACATTGACCCAGACATCACGATGCCACAGCTTCGAGAGCAACTCAAGTGCAACGCAACGGTTGCACAAATACGACGTCTGGGAACGTCACACACTGCGCGTATAACATTTGGTTCGCCCGTGCCACCAAGTCATGTACTTGGTAGCACGGGCGCCACACCGATTCACTGCCTCAAAACCACCCACAAAAAGTACCACATCAACGTGAGAACCTTGCTACTACGGCAACAGCGAACAGCAAACAAAAAGAGCCCCCAAAAGCAGACCTTGCGAAAGATAACTTCGGCAAAGAGAGAGAAACTCTCAAACCGCAACCAGAAGAAACAGTGAACGATATGAAATCCAAACACCGCTCGGGGCCATCGGTCCTAGTAGATGATGAAAACCCGTCAACTGAGACAAGCAAGTATAACTACGTAGATGCCCTGAAGGCAACATACAAAAATATTACAAACCCGCATACAGAGCCTTCCCTAACTAAGCCCGAAAGAAGGCCTCAAAGCCAAGAGCGAAATGAAACTTCAAAGCCAGACGATTCAGCTGCGCTTGATTGGAAAATGATATTTAGAACAGTAATCAAGGTTATCACAAACTTTCTGAGTCAGTTCACTTCACCAGTAATGCAAGGCATCGTACAAATACTTAACTTGATATTTCCCACTCTTCGATATATTTTAATCAGCAACTGTTTCTGTTTTACAATGGAATGCACGAGGCCTTCAGTCAAAAGCATCAGACATTCGTCAATACCTTAGAACTAATTCTTGTCCCGTATTAGCTATATCGGAACATGGCGTTCGAGACCGCTTCAGGATCTCGGGATACCAAATATTTTACTAAAAAAAGCACACTGGAAACAGCAGAACTTTACTAGCCATCAGAAATGATTTAACTTACGTTGAAGAGGATATTTGCCCACATGACGAAAACGAATATGTGTCTGCAACTGTCAGAAATGGAACGAGCTCAATAACTTTCATCTCTGCCTACATACCTCCCAACGAAACATTTGATGTTAAAAGGTTAGAAAACATCCTGCTAGCAGTACCAAAGCCATGCTGCTTGTTAGGGGATTTTAATGCTCATCATGAACTCTGGGTAGCCTACAAAACACTCGTAGGGGACGTGAACTTCTTGAGGTTGCCATTAAGTTCGATCTCGTCAACATCAATGATGGAAGACCCACGTTTTTCAGGGGAACAAAAGTAAGCAGTTGTTTGGATTTGACCTTTGTGTCGAAAGACTTTATACAAAAATGCACCTGGCAGCCAGCCCTCGACACATGGGGAAGCGATCATTTACCGATTATGATATCTGTAAGTGGTTTCGGAGCACGTAAATCGCGGACTAAAATAAGAAAAACGAACTGGGAAGCATTTCATTTTGTTCCGAAAAATGCCATAACGGCTGCAACGGAGGATGAAGCTATCGGTCCAACTATTGCTTCTGCTTTAAACAAATCTATTAGATCGTTTAGTATGCCCGCTGGAAAAACAGAACTCGATGCGGAATATGAAAGGTTAAGAGCAATACGGAGAAGAGCGGAACGACGGCCAAGACGAACTCACAGTACCAACGACCTCCGTGAGGCACGTAAAGCACAGCGTCACGTAAGACGTCATTTGAACGTGTTGGCTAAACGCAGATGGATGAGCTACTGTGAAAGATCAGACCCTCGAAGTCCCATATCACAAGTATATCGAGTTGTACGGGGGCTGAGAAAAACACCAGAGCAATTACATCCTTTTCGAGCATTGTCTCTAAAAAAGAAATGCTCAGAGTTAGAAGCAGCTGAAGAGTTTTGTAAGATGATAGCAGAAAAGCAACAATGCCTTCGCCGTAATGCCCAAAGCACGCAGAATGACACCTTAGTTGCGCCAAAAGACTCGAGATTGGATACACCCTTAACACTCTCAGAGCTGAAAATAGCTTTAGCATCAATGAATAAGAAGTCATCACCAGGAACGGATGGTGTAACGTATATGGCACTAGCCCATCTTAATACAAATTCCTTAATGAGACTTTTAGAGCTTCTGAATAGATCATGGGAGACAGGAAACTTTCCAAAACCGTGGAAAGAAGCTGAAATTGTACCTTTGCTAAAACTAGGGAAGCCACCAACTGCTTATAGTTCTTTCCGTCCAATCGCATTGACAAGTTGTATTGGAAAAACGTTAGAAAAAATATACAAGGAAGACTAAATTGGTATCTTGAAACGTACGATATACTTCCGGAGGCAATGAGTGGATTTCGCTCAGGAAGATCTACAAGTGATAGCATACTTAATCTAGTTAGTTTTATAGAAGAGAACCACGCAACAACCAAAATCACAGTTGCAGTCTTCCTTGACATGAAACAAGCTTTTGACAACATTGAACACGATGCCATTCTTACCGCTTTAAAAAGATTGAAATCTTAGGGAAAATGCTCCGCTGGATACAAAACTACGTAAGTGATAGGTCAATTTTTATGAAAACACACAATAACTGCACAAGTAAATACACGGTATCAAGAGGCGTTCCGCAAGGTGGGGTACTTAGTCCGACCCTTTTCAACCTTGCATTAATATCGGTAGCAGATGTCATTCCTGCAAATGTCATGGCCACATTTTATGCTGACGATATCTGCCTGTGGTCCACTAGCGTTCACCGAAACGTACCACCACGTAGGCTTCAGAAAGCTTTGCACCTGATTAGCCAACAATTATCAAAACTGGGACTCACTTTGTCGTCAGAAAAAACAACGGCAATGGCATTCACTAAAAAATCAATGCGAGGATACCCTATTTTATTAGCTGGACATCCTCTGTCATATGTAAAATCTTACAAATATCTTGGGGTTATCGTTGATCGAAATCTCAGATGGGCGCCCGAGGCAAACCGAATAAGAAAAAAAGATTGACGCAGTCATCGCAGTATTACGGTGCCTAGCTGGCACTGCTTGGGGATGCTCGTGCTCCGCAATGCTTGCCCTAGAACGCTCTCTTGTAGACGGAATTCTCAGATATAGTGCACCGATGCTTCATGGTGCTAGCAAAACTACCATCAAAAACCTGCAAACAGCGCAGACGAATGCACTTAAAGTCTGCTCCGGGCTTCCTAGAGGCACGTCTACTTGTGATACGCTGGCTGAAACGAAAACAGTATCTGTCAACACTATGAAAACGCAAGAATCTTTACGAGTACATCTACGCCACATTACTCAGCATAAGAGACACCATATGCGAAACATTGTCAGAAAAAGGCCGCGTTCCACATTTGGGCAAGAAATACAAAAGTGGCATAAAGAAATTTCTTCGGTGACAAAGCACAGTGGAGAAACTCCGCCACCGTATTGGATTATGCCCTCTATGAAAATTAATATCGAGATACCTGGAATGGGGGCAATCAAGGACACAGCGATACCCGTTCGATTTCAACAAACTATGCTTCACGTATCTGCTGTATACAAAGATCATGTATTTGTATATACTGATGGATCCACAACCAAAACATCATCTTCCTTTGCCTTCGTAATTCCCCAGAATAATGTACTTGAGACCGCACGGCTATCCCAC